CTAACACTGGGAATGTGCAACAGGAACACCTATTTGCTGCTTAGGAGATCTCTCTCCTGAGTAATTCATAAAACAACCATCCATACACCTCAGGTCTCTCTAGAGCCCGGTTTGTTGAGTGAATTTAGCTGTTTTGTATTGAATTTTACTAAAACTTGTGAATTAATTCATTTTTCACAATTACAGAAAACTGGAAAGTCTATGGATAAGGCAGGTCATAGGATTTCCTCCGACTGACTTGTAAGTCCTTGACTGTGTGGTATAAGTCTTGGCTTCCTTCCTTTTGGTTTCATGTAAATGATTTAGCTCTTACAGACAGACCTCTTGCCAGATATCTGGATATTTTTAGAACGTAGGAGCTGTCTGCTTGTTTTTCCACAGTCTGTGGATAGCCTAATCCTTAGCTACTGTAATTGATGGCCAAATCCTTTAAAGGCTGAATAAGCAAAGGAAGAGGTAGAGGTCTGTGCTCAGAAATGTGCTCAGGTTCTGCTTCTCATCTGAGTCTCCCAGAAATGCCAGCTGTGAGATCCCTTCACAGAATCCCAGGATGGGGCAGGTTGGAAGGGAGCACAGTGGATCATCTGGTCCAAGCTGCCTGCTCTGGCAGGGTCATCCCAGAGCACTGGGAACAAGACTGTGTTGAGACAGCTCTGGAATATCTCCAGTGAGAGAGAATCCACAACCACTCTGGACAATCTGTTTTTGTCAGTCACCCATACAGTGGAGGAGTTCTTCCTCCAGGTGTTCAGGTGGAGCTGTGCCTCAGTTTCTCCCCATTGCTTCTCATCTGTCCTGGCTGGCAGACTCTGGGTTGGCTCTGATATCCATGTGTGTGATAACCCTGCCAGTGGTGAACCACACCTGGAGGGGTTAACTGCCCTCCTTGGTGTCCACAGAGATATCTGGAGGTTTCAGCTGACATCAGCATTTCTTTATCTGTCTCAGAGCACCTGACCTGACACAGAGAATGTGCTGCAGACCCTCTGTTAAATGTGTGCCAAGTGGCAGGACACCATCCATCATTACTTATGTTGTATGAGACACTACTCTCATTTTCTATGCAATCACTTCTGGTGCTCAAGTCTGTAACCAATGTTATCCAGAACAACAGTTGCATGTGGAAGCATCTTTAAGAACCAGTGCATAAAAGCACCTAGCAGTTTCTGAATTTTGAAAGTTGTCTTTCCACCATTTATCACTTACCATTCACTCAATTTCACTGTGAGCCAGGTCACTGCATGAAATGTGAGTCACAGCTATAAGCCAGATGTCAGTAAAAAAGTGGATTATCCCTGCTTTAGCATCCCTTATTGTGGTTCTGTTTTCATACATGGTGGGCACTGCTGTTCAACAAGCAGCACTGTCACTGGTCAGCATTTGATTTAAAAAAACACTATTTGAGGCCATAAACTGGAAAGGTGCTTGGTCAAACAATTGATAAGTGGGTAGATGAAACTAGTAATGATAAAACATGCTGTAAACTGGGAGCTACACCAGGACAGAGGCAGTGTATTTGATGTCAGTGATCTTGATTTGCATGGGTACATAAAGAAAGCTGTTTCTGAAATAGAGATTAAAGGTGCTGAAAAGAAAAGAGATTAAAGGTTCTGAGAGAAAGAAAATGTATTTTTAAAAGAAGAGGTACTGTTTGTGTGTGTGTGATTATTTTTACTAGTTTAATCTTTTATATTTAAAAATATAGTATTTGGCTTGACAGCATTTGATCTTGAAGTTCTTTTTAAGGATTCAGGAACAAAATCTCACATGAATGAGTGCAGCTTCTACTTAGGTGGGGAGTTGTTTTTCCAGTTGTTTTAACAGGCAATATGCAATATCAGTGCAAATCTCCAGAGGTCAATAGAGTTTGCTGTAGTTATCAGGAGAAAATAGACTTCATGGTGAGTAGAGAAAACACAATTTTTTTAATATCTACTGTACTGTGTAATGTTTGATAAAGATTCTGTATACACATTTGTACATACATGTGCATGCACACATGGACACGTGCAAAAAGATATGAATAATAGACTTCAAACAGAAACAGTTCCTTCATGTAAAACTTTCCAGTATATTTAGGAAAGCTACCAAAAAATGTGGTAGAAAAAAAAAGAACAAAAAGGCTTTCATTGGAATAAAGTAAGTTAATTGTAGGATCTTTCAGTTCACACCAACAATGCTGCATGTTATATGGCAAAATAACGTCAGCCTGAGAAATAATGTCAGTTCCTGACATCACTCAAGCCTGTGACAAACCTCCCTTTGGCTTGCATGGAACAAAAATTACATCCATTATGTTTTTCACATGGCAAAGTACAGCTACAGCAAAATAAGCTTTCAGAGCCTTAGTCCCTTTCCTTTTGGTTATCATTACTTTCCTTTACTGTAACAAATGTCTTTAAACAATATGCAACCCTTCATCTCAAAAAAAAAACAGTTGTATGTTTCTTTAGAATAAATCCATTTTCTTGCAAAAAATGATTAGCAGAGAGTTTTCCCTGAAACCCAGCACAGTATTAAGTAGATAATGTTTTAGAACATTAATGTAAAATGTAAAACTAGTTTCAGAATTTTTTATGGACAGATTCTATTCTTAATAAATCCTATCAAAATCTGTGCAATGACTGATTTTTTTTTTTTTTCCCATATATTGATACTGAAGTCTTTCAAATACAATAGTTACAAATATAGGTCTGTTAGGTGACCTCCTTTGTTGTTTTGGTGAAATGTACTATAGTGGCAAATTTCAGAAGCCAGTCTTTAGTAGATAGAGATTTTTACTGTTTGGAAAATAGAAAATGGTCAGTACTGTTAAAAAATAAACGTGTGTCTGAGTTGAATACTCCTCATAATTACAACACCACCGATTTCTCAGGGAAAGCTGGTCCCACACCTGGTGTGATCAGAAGCTGTGGTCAAGTACTTGAAATTCTCAGCTGGTTTAAGTGGAGGTAATGACCCTGACTTCAACAGATAACTGCCTGTGCTGGTTTTGCATTGATTGGCATTTGGGGAGAACCACCCATGGAAGTGGTGGCACAGAAGAGAATTTTGTCAGTTAACTTTTTGAAAGCAACCATTTTATTTGTTCTTCAGCTCTGAGCATTTATGTTCCAGCTGGTCTTGAAAATCACATAACTGGAAGTTGTAAAGACATGCTGGGGGAGGGCAGGAAACTTGGCAGGAAAAGAAGCATTGAGAACTTGAAGCAGAAACTATGGCAACCTGAATAACTTGCTGGAGGAAGTGTGCAGCAGGTTTTGCCAATGGCACCTGGAGGACAAGGGCTTGACCTCAGCAGTGATGTCTTGCAGTGAGAGAAACAATTCTCCGCCTGGATTTGACACGTGTGAGATGGCAATGCACAGAGCATCCACACACATGCTTTTTGGAGCATCTCAATGGAAGAATGACAGGTAAAAATGGGAGCAAATCCAGTGTAGGGCTCTACTGGTCAAGAGGCATGAGGAATGTTTAAATGAGAAGGCTTTGGAGCACCTTCAGAGATGCATGGTGATAGGGAGAAGTTCAAAATCTGGAACACAGGACATTCAGATTAGATATGAGAAATGTTTTTTGTTTGGAGTTATGGGGTGGTTTTCTTTTTTTGCTTTTTTTTTTTTTTACCATGAGGGCTGTCAAAGCTGGAAAGGAGGTTGTTGATACTATCTAGATATGTTCAAAACTCAGCTGGACAAAGCCATGCAACCAGATCTTATGTGGCTTTGCCTTCAGCAAAGATGAACTCCCAAGGTCCCTCCCAACCTGAATTATTCTGTGATTATTCTGTTATTTCTGTGATTCTGTTCAGTTTACTTAAATTATTCTCTTTATTTTCAAAGGGATGTGACAGTTTTGGAAATGGATCCAGCTGTTGATTATATGCTTCAGGGGGCAACATTAATGGAGAAGCTGCAGCCCTTTTAGCTCCCTGGTAGACTCAGGCCTCAGTTTTTGTAATTTTTTACCTTCAGCTATTGTGGAGCGTTGCTGAGCTCATAAAGCAGCTGCTGTGAATGGTGTGAAAAGTAATTGCTGCATGTACTTCATAGGGCTTGTAAAATGGTTTGGAAATTACTGTAGAGAAGTGAGCTGCTATGTTTTTATCACTACAGAAAGCATCAAGATGGTAGATCACTAGATAAGCTATAAGTATATACATATATAAATATGTATATACAGATATAAATATACATATGGATCCCAACTGTTAAGCTAATTCATACTATCTTAGAATCTGGCCTTAAAATTTGTCCACAGCCAATTTTTTTTTTTCAGAAATAATGCAAGTGCCTCAATGATAATCTGAGTAAGAAGGAGCTCCAGCCTAACATACCTGGCTGATAGGATGGGTGTGACTGAAAACTGAACATGGACTTCAATGAGAAATCCATAAGTACCAAAAAAACACAGCTTTGTCAATGCATTCACTAAAATCCTGATGCAAAAACAGTCAAAAAAGAGAAGCATGGTGATAAAGGAAATCCTACTGTAGAAAATATGCCTGTTAGTCTATAAATTGTGTAAGAGGGAGCTTCTGCCCTTCTAAATTCTGACTTCACACTTGGGTTTGATTAATTTCTTCCAAGATCACAGGATGAGTCCTTTAGGCATCCTCCTTGCATCAACTTTTATTTATTTTCTCTATTTTTTGAAAAAAATAATGTCTATATATCTCACAGGGCAGGCCTAGGCTTCTATTAATTAAACGTTCAAGGCCTTGAAGGTGGAAAAAGAAAGTATTAGTATCAAGGATTATTTAAACTATGTTTTTGTGAGGTTGAAATACAGTCCAGCTGAGAACTACCTGCCAAAGTCTTAGTAAAAATAGACAGCCAGTGGGTTCTCAGCCAGTACAATGTCAAATTAAAATTATGCTTCACAACAGTAAATTCGGTGATGATAATTCTATGTGGATTAAGTGTAGGAAGCTGAAAAAATAAGCACTTATTTTTCTCATCCTGATCATTTGTCTGTCTTTTAGGGTTTTAGTTTGAAAAAACCAAACCTGAAATCTGTATGTGTGGATGTAAACAGCTGCATGGGGAAAAAATGTCAGTACTTAGCAGCAGTGAAGTTTGTCCAAGGATTACCACAGTGAATAAAACCAACTTCCCTTTTAAAAGCTGAGTGTACTATTTTGGGAATGTGACCCCTTTTCATGAATAAATGACGTGGTGACATTTACAGATAAAGCAAGATTTAACTGCTATGAAAGGAGATGACAAATGTCAGGATGTCAGTAATGATCTGTGAACATAATGGTCTCTCACCAGAGCACTGAGTAGATATATAATGTAATTGTCTCCTGCTACTGCTGCCATGGAAGAAGAAAAGCAAAGCAATGTGAGGAAGATCAAAAACCTCTCAGGAACCAACCTTAAAGCCTGATTGATAGGCATTGGCACAACTTAGCTAATAAATTATACTGCTAATGACTTGGAGTTTTTACCTTGTGCATATTACTATTACATACTGTGAAATTCCTGTATAACTTACAACTGTATTGTGTCAGAGGATAAAGTGTTGGCCATCAAAATGACTTTCTGACAGTTTCTTTATCCCTGTTGTACTGCTGGGGCTTGGCTGTTGCAAAAGTCTTGCTGGAGCTGAGTGGATTTACTGCAGCTGGAGCTGGTTAATGGAGCACAGGTTGCTGCAGAACAGAGAAGGATTCCTCCTTGGCAGAATCTTTCAATTCTGCGAAAGATCATGCAACCATAGAATGAATCATAGAATGCTTTGAATTGGAAGGGACCTTAAAAATTATCTAATTCTAATCCCCTCCATGGGCTGGGATGCCTTACCCATGACCAGGTTCCTCAAAACCCCATCCAATGTGCCCTTGAATACTTTCAGGGATGAGGCACCCACAAGTACTCTGGGAAACTTGTTCTGTGCCTCAGCACTCTCACAGCAAATAATTTCTCCCTAATATCTAATCTAAATCTCTCCTGTTTTAGTTTAAAACTGTTCCCCCTTGTCCTATCACTATCTGCTCATAAAGATCATACAGACCCACTTGTCCTCTTCAGGTGTTACATCCTGAGTTTTTCACACCCTTGTAGACTCTACTCTGACCCAGCCTTGTGATGTCAAACTTGCCCTGATGACTTCCTTTGGAAACCCAGAGATCTGGTAGGGAAAAAGAGCTTGGAATTATTTATGCAATTATCTTCTGAGGTCATCTCAGGCAGCTGTCTCCCACCCCTGGGCCTCAAGCAGAACCTGCACTTGTCCCACACACGGAGCGCTTTCTCCAGCTGACAGGTAAATTGATTCCCATTTGCTGTTCAAAGTGAGGAGAGTGTCTGGACATCTGAAGCTTTAAAAATCCTGAGACCTCGGCTCAGCACAGTGTGGAAGGCAGGGGGTTTCTCTGCATGAGCTCCACAGCCTTCTGGCAACTTCTCAGCTCTCAGCTGAGCGCTGGGCTTTGCTTTCCTTGTGCTTTGCTCCGACAGCCAGCCGACCTTTTCTCAGCATAAGTTAGCCTGCCACAGGGCTTGTGTTACCCAGAAGACCAAGGATGTTTTCAGAGAGATGAGGAAGCTGTGATTAAAAGCCAGACATAGTCAAGCTCTGGTGCAATCAGCCAGAAAGCATTTGGCTGGTAGTTTGTTTACGAGAAGAAATATAACAGATAAAATAGAAACATTAATACAATAAAAATGCCAAGCTCTGGAACATAGTGAAGATAATGCTGAACAGTGAATAGATGTATTTTTAGAAGATACTCTGAGTAAATCTCCTGTTAATAGTGCACAAGTGTATCTTTAACACTACTTGTATAGATACAGTAATCACAGTATCTCTCAGGGAAATCCCCATTACAAAGGAGACTCATCCCAATCTGCTGTATCTTTTGATCTGCACTTTACAGTCAGAGCCATCTATGACAAAGAAGATGGAGGTGGCATTTCAGATAAGACAGCCAGCATTGTAGCAATCATATATTGACATCCAGCAAGGATTCACCTCGATTAACTGTATCCATCTAAAAGTTAGATGTCTTCTCTAAGCCAATTCTCCTAAGCTTCCAGGAAAGTCAATGGAGAGATGCAGGCAGTGCAGAGGGCAATCGACCCTATCCTGAGATAAGTATTCCAAGATAAATTGTGCCTTTTTCTTGCTGTTCACTCTAGAGGGGTCCCAACACTCCAGAATCAATGCCTGCTTTTGAGGTGGCTGTGCTTAGGTGAGACATGTGGGAGGCTCTAATTTCCATGGAATCAGCTGATCTGAAGGGTCAATTGCCTTAACACAACCTTGTTAGCGTGCTGCATTAAACTATTAAACCTGATTAGGGATTTATGGTGAGGAGTCCTTCAACCTCCAAACCTTGCACACATGCAAGAAAATTAATACTAAGGAAAATAATTGCACTTTAAGAATAGAAAAGACATAATTAGAATGCACAGACTAAGAAGTAAGCAAAAACCAATTATACTATTTTGTAACCATTGAGCTATTTAATCCACTCTGTGCATCCCTTTTTAAAAGATAGTTAAAGAGAATTGACTGATGTTGAATCTTGAGGTGGTTGCTGTGAAATTTTTCTTCTTTCTGAGGTAAGGGACACTTGGAGAAGCAATACGATCATTCCAATTTCAACTGGAAAAAAGCAAATATCAGTGTTCTCAGGGTATAACACAAAATGTATTTCTGTATCTATCATTCTGGTGTTCCTGCTGATTCAGTGGGGGTCATTTGTGTTGAAATAAGTCTCCTAGTGAGTAAAGATTATCAGTTATGACCAGTTTTTGTGATGTGAAGCAATAATTTTAGAGGCTGTATATTTGATGATTTCAGTCCACAAACCTTCTCTTGAAAATGATAGAAGGTACTTTCTGGGTGGACTAACCTTGGTCTGATTACCTCTTAGGTCTAACTTTAACTCATCCATCTTGACACAGGAATTTCTACTCTCCCATGTTTGTAACTTGTGTTAGATCTATATTCCAGTATTAGTGAACCATTTCTGTTTAAACTACTTGGGATTTTTTAATGTAGTTATTTTTGCTTGATTTATTGTAATATTTAATTAACTCTTACAATTGGATGGATTTCTAGGTTACAGTTACTGGGCTGTTATTTAGCTCTATTGGGGTGAGAAGCCCATTAAAAAATGTGCTAATAGTTCTGCTGCTCAAGGAAAACATAGGAAAGGGTTTTGTTGCTCATTTAAAAAAGACTGAGTTTTAGTCTCTGCTTTAATGCTCTTTAAACTCATCAGCTAGAGAAGGACATTAGTGGTTATCTCAGCCCTGACACTTGCTAACAAAGACTGACAACTGCTGACACAACAACCTGCCTTGAATTATGTTTGGGTAGGGGGTGGAATGGGTTGGCATAACAGAAACATATAATTTCAGTAAACCACCATTTTTAGAAAATGACATTGTTTAAAATTTCCTTTGCTGAAATGGAGATGCATTTCCCCAGATCTCTCAAAAAATAATGTAGGGGATTGAACAGAAAAATGGTGCCTGAAATGAGAATTTCCATATGTATTCAGTGTCAGTCAAATTCTTCCACTTTAATTTTCATTCTGAGTTCTTCTCAAATATAAATGTGTATAGAAATTCTTATCCTTAATTAACTATAGAGCTTACAGAAAGTGTTTGTTGCTATCCATTTCTTTCCTTTCCCTCCCCTTACCTCCACTGATCAGAGCTGCATGTTGAGTAGATGCACTATAACTCCGTAATTTGAAGCTACCACTGTAGCATCAATTCTTCTGGATGATACCACACCTTGCCAGTCAAAAATGATTTGAGCTTAAATTGTCAGCTAAAGATGCTCTTCATTTTTATTGCCCTGAACTTGCGGGCAGTCTATTGGATGAAGTGAATTACTTTGTTGTTGAAAATGCTTGTAATTTTGTGTGAAGGACACAATCAGAATACACAATATTTTTCCCCCTTTGCATTTCCCAACCTGCTCTGCTCCTTTGGTACCCAGGCATATTACAAAATTGCTGACATCTAAGCTGATCAATCAAACTCTTTGCAGTTCTGTAAATGATCTTAACTGTATATGCAGCTGTTATTTGGCAGTGCTCCATCTGGAAAACAAAATAAAAACATCAAAAGAAGTTCAGCAAGGTTTACGTTTCACTGAGGTTTTTTGATGGCTTGTCTGTTATATAACAAAGTCTCTTGGGTCAAGTTACAAGATGCCAGATCTTTGTCCTTTTATAAATCCCTGATCCCTGAGTTAACCATACAACCACCTCCCAGAACAGGGACAGCTGAGCACTGTGCTGGTGCTGATACCCTGCACACTAATGGGAACAGCCCCCCAGGAAAACACAGGCTGTACACAGGAATATCTTATGGGAGCTAAGGAAAGCTGGGACAGCCATATGGTTTATAGAATTAAGAGGGTAGATTTTTTCAACAGTGGTTCCATTTTTGTTCCTCAGTTCTGCCCAGGACTCCACCAAGCTTAGCACCATGGCATGCAGGGGCTGTGTTGCTTGCCTTTAAAACTACTGTTACTGATCCAGTGCAGCTGTACTGTAGAAAACTCCATATTAGTCTCAATTCAGTAAAAAAAAACAAATAAAAAAATAATTTAAAAAATTCTGTTTTCATAAAGTGTTTTGCTTTTTCATTCTCTGTCCCTGCTTTTAAATTATGGTCTTCCTCCTTATTCTATTAATTCAGCTCAACTGATGATACAACTTGACCTGAACACATTAAGCAAATGTACCAAACTGAAGAGGGAACACAACATGCATGGATAGTTTGTGATTTATGTCGGGATGAGCAAGTGCCACTATCCCTTGCCGTAGATACAGAGAACTGGGCAGAGAATTAATGCTCTGGTAGACTGCAGGAAGACATTTGCCAGGGCTGTAGAGAGACAGCAAATCTCCTGACACTTTATGCTCTGATTGGTCATGCCCAAAAAGCGTATCAGCCAACTTGAACAGATCAGCAAAGTTCTCATTAGCAAAATTCCGAGCTAACCTTTCTACTCACTGACTGCAGAGAGGGCAAAACAATAATCACAGTGGAAAAGTGTCCTCAGCACTCTAAAAAGAAACTACCAGGCAATAAACATTGTTGATCAGACACAAAATCGGATGGAGGAAAGGAAAATGTCAGTGAATCAAATGCCTTCTTTTCCAGGACAGAACAGAGAGGTGAAATGCTGCAGTTATGAGCAAGAATACTTCACATGGTGTGATGGACACACTGCCAGTTGGTACAGGTCAATTACAGTGGCTTTTTTTGGCCTAATGTGCAGAAGAAGTTTTCCTCAAAGGACCATAAAGGAAATGAAGTGCCCAATACCTTTGCCAGTTTTATAGCTCTCAGACTATGTGGAAAATTTCGTCCAGAAAGAACTGGCAGAGAAAAGATGATAATAACAAGAACAACAAAACAATGTTTTGTGCTGTATAAGTTGCAACATATTTAAGATATATATTTTATATTCTCTCACTTTGTGATTTGCTTTTGTACTGCCCTTTATACCTTGCTTAAAGACTGCAATATGAAGCTACAGTAATGTACAGCAAATTTTAAGACCTTTAACCAAAATCAAAATATGCATCTAGAAAAAGATTTTTTTTCCTCAGCAGAAATTAAAACTGTTGCATTTAGAAGCACATCCCATTTCTAACAAATATGCACCATTTCCCCTGCAGCTCCTTTTATGTTAGTCAATATCTTCTAATGTTATCTGATGGTTTCCTAGGAGATGCCCTAAATGGCCAAACTCACTAGTTTGATGCTGGTGTTGGATAATATCTATATTCACTAAACATCTGTTTTGTTCACTGAAGTCTGCTTGCCCTTTTTCCACTGGTCATTATGTTCCCCCTGAGGGTTTCTAATGGTTGCTAATGAGATAAGAAAAATGCTCCATGTACACTTCTATCTTCTCTGATGATGTGTGATCAGAAGTCTGTGCTCGTTTTTAGCAGGAATTGCTTCAAAATCATTGTTAGTGTTTCTTTGTACAGTAGTTTGGATGCAAATTTTACACTTAGGGACTAAAGTGCCTTTTAAAAATCTGTAAGATGCAATTAGAAAGAGAAAGATCACTACATTATAGGGTAGAGAGTTCTATTTGTGGAAGGGTGGGCTCAGTGTTGATTCATGTTTTTCAGATGGTACAGTACAGGTTGCATCATTAATAAAAGATTAAGATGCCAAATGGGGAATTTTTACCTTCTGTTTCTGAGTTTTTCACTGTAGGAAATCACCCAGATATGGCGAGAGTTTGATTTTATATAACATGATGAGCAGACAGAGTGTTCCTCAAATTGAACAGAGCCTGCTGCTACTGTGGGAAGAGGGGCTGACAACTTGGGTAGTATCCATACAAAGCTATAATTTCTAATCTGTCAAAATCACTTCCCTTTAGAAAGCCTGATTTCATTAGCATGTTCTTTGTCGGATGTGATTGTCTCTCTTAGCAGCTTTCCTTTTACAGCTGTCACAAAAGCCAATCAGATTATACCAAGGGCAGGAAATAAATAAGTCTTTTTGCTGTAAATTAATTTAGGCAAGGCTGCATCACATATGGTTAGATTTAGTTCCTACTTTGAAGTGTGAAATTTTAGCAAGGTAACAGATGAGGGCTCTAAGAGCAGGTATTGGCATAAATTTGGTTACAAACTGCACTTCTTCTGGCAATCTAGGGGTGGGTATAGAAAATATATTTACATATAGTCTGTGCTTTATAAATGGCAAGCCAAGCTCTCAACTAAACTGAGGACATAGGCTAAACTGTCTTGGACAGAGAGGCCAAATTAATCTTTTCTCAGATTTTGTCTGTGCTGCACTCTTCCGGGGTAATTTTAACCCAAACATTAAGAACTCATTTAAGCTAATTTTCTTCATATTTGATCTTGTCCACTGCTCAATTTACCAGTGTGGGCTCCTCTATCTTTTCACACAAGTCTGATGTTTTTGTATATCTTGCTGTGCTCAGCTACCAAGGAGTAT